AATAAAATCTTAAAAAAAAAAAAAAAAAGCAAAGGGTTTTCTCCCGCTGATAACAGAAGAGGAAGTCAGAGACTCAAAGCACGGGGGGATGTGAGGTCCCACAGGTGGACTGAAGATGGAGGGACACATGGAAAAGACTGAGTGGCCTCGGGGAGCTGAGCCGAGAGCAACCCCCAGCCAGCAGCCAGCGTGGCCTGCCTGGACCCATGACCGGCAGCAGTGGGACATAACGAGCAGGTGCCATGTTGAGCTGCTACGCTGGGACATTTGTTAGGCAGCAATAGAAGACAGATTCAGTCTCCTAATTGGGGCCAGAAAGGGAGCAGAGATGAGTCTCAGTGATTGACTCTGTCTTCTTCACATATCTCCACCTCCTTCAGAAAGCTTACCTGCCCCTGAGAGCCACTGAGGATCTTTGCCTCTGCCTTCCTCTGCCAGTAATTATCTACCACTCCCTTGGCCCTGCGCACACAGGCCTGCCAGCCCAAATCCCCTGCTCCTCTACAGTCGCCTTGTCTTCTCAAATCTGGTCTGAGTGCATCCAACACAGAAGCCACAACTTGACCTTTTTCATATTCTCCAAAGCTCCCAGTACAGGGCCAAGCACAAATAGATACTCACAAATATTTGGTGACTAAACCATTTCCTTTCAGCTCCAGTGACCAGCAGGGCCAACGAAGAGATTCAAAACCGAGATGGACACAGACACTCGGGGGGAGAGCCTTTCCCATTAAACGGGCTTCACCGCCCCCTGGGATTAATAAAGCACCGAGATGGTGACACCCCATCTCAGAAGCCTGACCTTCCATTAACGCTAGCCACTCAGTTTCCTGGCACACATCAGGCTACCATTTCTCTGAAGCTTTTTTTTTTTCTGTAATGTTTTTCTACAACTGGAATTTGCAAACAAAGGAAGTGAGAAGACAATGACTCGAGCTCCCAAAAAACATACTACCTGTGTTTTGTTCAACAACAGCCCTACCCTGAAGGCCTGCCATGTCCGGGCACCAAGCTGAGACCCCAGAGACAGGGAACTAAGTCACAATAGCCCCTACTCTTGAACTGTGGTCCAAGTGTCCCCTAAATACAGAGGTCATGGCAGAGCCTCTGACACTTTGGAAACCAGGAGATGGCATTTCTTCAGGTGGGACCAGGGGATCAGGTTGACTACAGGCAGGCAGGGGGTGGGGCTCCTTTCTGCATTCTACCCTGCCCCCCGAGACTCTGGGGCGGCCTTCTGTGCCCCACCCTAGGCTCCAATAACATGCAGATGATGTCACTGTCTAGATGTGCAACAGTCTTGGCAAGTTTCATCCAGAGCCCTCAAGCACGGATTAAAAAGTAAATCCATAGCGTTTGGACAGACCTTTACAGTTTACAAGGCGCTGTCACATTCACGGTCTCGGCTGATCCTCCCAGGAGCCCTAGGAGGTGGGAGGAGTACGTTATTACCTCCCGTTTACACATGAGGATACGGAGGCATAGAGAGCTGAAGTGACTTACCCAGAGTTACCTACCTGATTTGGAAGCCAAAAAACCACATCCTTCGACGTTGGATCTAGTCTTTGGGCCTACACGAGAACTCGGCTGAGACGAGCTAGGCTCCTCCCAGCTGGCCTTAGCAGCTGGTGACTTGAGAGTTTCTTCACAGAAAAAATGAAGGAGAGGTAGGGAATCAGGAATAAGAGGAAAACACAATGATGCCTCCTATTCTAGTAACACTTTATACTTTCCAAAGAACTCACATATTTCTTATCTCATTTGGTTCACAGAACAATCCCAGACAGTCCATAAGGCAAGTATATCATCACCAAAAATGGAATCAGAACTAGTCCCCAACTCTTCTGATTCCAAGACTCTTTCATAAGCTAAGGGAGGGTATTCTTGCCACTTACACCCTCCTCTTGTCCCTTTGGTCCTGAAAGGTCAAGACCAAGAGACCACAGGATACCCTTCTCTTGTGTGCCCACACAAGTCCAGCTTACAGTGACCTTGCATTTCACCGTGTGTCCCCTGCCAGAAACTGGCCCCAGAAAGCAGCCATTTCCCCCTTCTGGTTTTAGGATTGCTTTTAAAGAACTGATTTTATATATATATATATATATATTTTTTTTTTTTTTTTAATTTGACAGAGAGAGACACAGCGAGAGAGGGAACACAAGCAGGGGGAGTGGGAGAGGGAGAAGCAGGCTCCCCGCAGAGCAGGGACCTTGATGTGGGACTTGATCCCAGGACCCTGGGATCATGACCCGAGCCGAAGGCAGTCGCTTAACCGACTGAGCCACCCAGGCGCCCAAGAACTGATTTTATAAAACACGTACACCGGGGAGAATGGAATCTGCTAAACTCTTGCTCATCACAAATACACAACAAGATGGAAGTTATCAGGAAAGGGCTGTGGAAGATCAGCACCATGCTGGCTGGTGGAAAGGAAGAGTCTTCACGAAAAAAGAGGCATTGAAGTTGGGCCTTGAAGGATGAATGGAGAATCTTGACAAGTAGGAAGATGCAGACTGAGGAAATAGCATGAACAGCCCCTTGCAAGGGCAGCAGCAAGTCCACCTTGGCCCCCCACCTCAGACTGAGGCTGGCTGGGATCCAGCTTAGACCGCCAGTTAGCTCTGGGCTGGTTCCTGCCCCGGCACCATCTGCTCCGTCCTTCCTCAGGCTCTGTGGACTTGCAGCACGTCCCACCAAACCTTAACCACCCTCTTAACTACTCACCTTTTCTGCTCTCTGGCTGTTTCCCCCATGTGTCTTGCCTTCCCAACTAGACTAAAATATGATTCCTTGAGCACAGAGCAGGGGGTGTCTCTATCCTATCCGAGCCAGCATGAGGTGGGAACAGAGTAGGTCCAACAACCTGTTTGTTGACTGGCTGCCAAAATCTATCGGCCCAAGAATCATGGGATGACACTTGTACAAACAAGTAGAGCGAGAAGGGGCAGTGCTTGTAACCCTAGCCTGGGATGACAGGGACGGGATTAGGAGAAGACACCCACTTCTGGTTTTAAGATTATAGAACTGATCTAAATTTAAATCAAGGGGCTCAGATGTGTTGGGTCACTCTGTGGGACTGCCCTGTAGTTCACCTTTGGTTCTCTCCGAGACCAACATCCCAGGGTCCCTTTAATCCGTTTTTCTAGTCCCTGCTTGTCAACATCTTCCAATGAGACATAGTGTCTCATTCCTCCTCTTAGAAAGAGTAATGGAAATGGCGCAGTGGACATTTCCAATCTGGGGACTCGAGGATGATGCCAGAGGAGAGAGGGGAGTCAGGGCCAGGGTGGGAGTGGGGAGGACCCTGGGACACAGTACAGCTTCCTACCAGCTGGCCTCCAAGGTGCTGAGGTCTCCCCTCAAGTGCTGGGTGGACACAACTGACAACCAGGGAGACTGAATAGGGTCAAAACCCAAACGGGTCACAGCACCCCTAGAATGGAACACAAGTAAGCAATCAAGGTAATCAACTAGGAGCCGGGGAGGGGGGCAGGGGAAGAACCAAATGCCCAAGTGAGTTCGGAGGCACAGAACTTCCGTTTTAGGGACTTCCTAATCCAACGCTCTTCTCTAAGCCCACAGGTGAGGTCTTCAAACATTCTTTCCTGTGGTAGTCTAACCCTGTTCTACCCAATGTCTCTCTGCATCTTTGACCTTCCAATCCATCCTCCATATTGCTGCCACAGCGATCTTTCTACAACACAGATTAGTTAGTTCAGTGTCTCCCCTCCACCTTCAGAAGGTCCAATGTCCGCATGACCCACGAAGGCCCTTCGCTGCAAGACCCAGACAGGCCTTCGAGTCTAATCTCCTCTCTGCGTCCCCCTGACTTCATCCCCACCTGGCCCTGCCCCCGGTGATATACTGCACAACACTCCCCAAAGATGCAAGTTTCCCCATGGTCGGCAGGGAGGATCCCAATTTCAAGGCCCAGCTCAAATGCCTCCAGCGCTGGCTCATCCCCCCAGCAAAGACGAGTCAGTTTCTCTTCCATGCTCCCCAAACACCTCCCTACAGCCTTTATCACCCTGACTCGAGCTGATTTTATAGAGACTGAGAAACCACCAGGGGTAGGGATAGGTTTTGCCTTCTTATGGTCACCTTGTCTTTATTTCACTCAGCAGGAGTAGGTGGTCAAAAACATGTTTCCTGAAAGAACAAACCCCTTTCCTTCAGAGCTGCACAGTGAGCTCCTGGCGGGGCCCGGTTACTACCGAGGTTGTCTGATGCCCAGATCAAGGCACTGTTTTCTCAGCTGCTGCTTCTACCTGTTCCTGTGCCCCTGCAACTGGATGACTCCCCACTCATCTGGACCTTGAGATGCCGGGACAGTGACAGGCATTTGCATGAGCAGGACCCCAAGCTGCTAACTGCAAAGAGAGCCTTGTATGCCTCTCCTAGGGAAGAGATCTGATTCCCAAGTGCTCCAAACCCAGCTGTAGGCAGCGACAGAGCAGGTGAGTCATGCCAGCCCACACCCGTGGGCTCTCTGCTGCAGGGCCCCAGCGTCTGTCTGTCTTGGGTCACGTGGGATATGGGTGCTCTGAGTTGACTCAAGTCCCAGGGAGGGGGTGCTGCTGTTCCGGCCAAGGACTCCCCCACCCTTGGTGGTGAAAGCAGGCGTGACGGCCTTTATCTATGACAGCAAACATAAAGGGACTCAGGGAGCACAGGGGATGGCCTTAGAGAAGCTGCAGCCCATGATAAAGGTCAAGGGACACAGCTAACCACTCTTGAGATCCCATCTGGACAGACAGATGTGTAGGGCCATCCACCTGCCCAGCCTGTTATCCACTGCCTGCCCTCATCAGCATCTCTTCATTTCCCCAAATTCAAAGCTCCTCAAGAAAAACACAAGCTGTCCTCCACCGCCCAACCTCCAGACTCAACCCAAACATTTATCTTGCAGATGAATCTTGTTTTAAGCAAAGTCAGCATGTAAAGTCGAGGGATAAATCATTTTACAAACCCCTTTCACCACAAAGAGCTCCCTTGACACCTTCACCGCCCCCCCCGCCCCCGGTGGCTTACTAAGCTGTAAGGTCCTCTGTGAGAAGTTGGAGAAATGAACACTGTTGCAGGATAGTCCCTGCCCTCAACAAAGTAAATAAGTTGCACATCTGAACTACTGTAAATACAGGAAATAATGCGCTCAATCCTTTAGGAGAGGCTCACAAGGTGAGTCTGGGAATCTGGAAGTGAATGAGTTTGGAGGGACATCATCAGGGAGGTGGCACATGAGTTGGGCTTTAGAGAATGGGTTGCATGTTGCCATTCAGAAACAGGTCAACTGGCCTACCATGTGGAGGAGATGTCATCAGCAAAGGACTGAAGGAGGACCCACAGACTGTGGATGGAATCAAACGTTAGGCAGATCCATACGGAAACCCACCAGGGCGGGCTGAAACAGCACATTCGACATGCCCAAGTCCAGGGACGCAGGCCACAGCACAAGGAAAAATCTCCGAAGAGCAAGGGTCAACACGAACCCAAATAGTGCAGCAGCAGGCTTTATTCTGGGTGAGAAGTGTACCAGGATGGCCTTGGAATTAGACCAGAGGTCAAATGGCAGCTCTACCCTAAACAGCTGGGTTTGGTTACCCACCCAAAGTCTTGGTTTTCCATTTGCAAGGCCCCTCCCTAGCACTCCCTACCTAGTGTCTCACTAAGAAATGAAATGGGATGATGGAGAGCACCCATGGGGCGTAGTGGCAGGCACACAGCAGGTGATCAATCTATGTTAGCTTCCTCCTCCGTGCTTGAGGAGCTGGGACAATGAGCGAGCGACAAGTGCAAGACTGGGTGGGGCTCTCTAGGAAGAAAGAGGCCAAGAAAAGGGGACTGTAAAGACAGGAGATGGTGCAGAAAGAGGGACCACAGAGAAAGGAAACAATGTCTTTATGCTGAGCTTTCTGCTCCACAGCAGGCCATTTTAGGGATGCTGGTAAAAGTCCCCACCCCACTGGTAGCTAGTTTATCCCTGAAGAATGCCGTGTTCCAAGAGCAGCACCAGCGATGCAGTTAGCAGAACTGAGCTTGTGGGTGGAGCGATGGGTAAGAGCTGAGGCAGCACCCTGGGCCTCTGCCCAGATTGTGGGGGCACCAGAAATCAGGACTGGATCAAGATGGCTTCAGAGAGAGAAAATTGCTTACTTCCAAAAGCTTCCACTAGGAAAGCCCAGAAGTCCAAGGTTTTTTTCAGATCTAGATACCTGCTCTTTTAACCTGAATACCTGGCTCACTACAAGCTGGCAACAGAGATACCAACAGGCACGGGACCCACCTTTGCAGAGAGCCTCCGGTCCCATGGAGAACAGGCACACTAAGGATCTTCAGGGAGATGCACCATCTAATCCTATGTGTGTTTGCTCCTCATTCATTCATTCATCCATCCATTGCACAAACATCCACAGAGGAAGTACCATACACAAGATACGGTCCCGGAGAGGCAGGTGGCAGCTTAGCTGTTTACATCTCCATTCCTCAAGTTGTTTCACTAGTCGGTTTCCTTATCTGACAGATGGAGAAAACGGGGTTTAGAGAAAATGCAACAGGATAATGGACACACCTCACACACAGTAAGTACTCAAGACCTGTAAACTCTTAATAAACCAGTAGAAGTCAGGTCGCAGGTTATGCTGGATATCTTTCATTTGCTCCTCCAGGTCCTTTTTGCATCCTCTCCACCTGTACTGTGCCCTAGAATTTATCTGCATGGGCTAATCAACACTCCCTTGACCTCTGACTTCCCACTGGGTTTGGTCCATGGAGAGCCTTGACAAACCAGTGGGGGTTTTATTCCCCCAACTGCCTTCCTGAGCCCCTTGACCTGAAGTCCCAACTCTAGCAAGATGACCCTCCACACGGCCTCTCTGCCTCCAGGAGTTTAAGATCCCACTGTTACTAGCTCCAGAACATTTCACCGTCCAGAGTTGTTTCCCACACCCTGCTTCAAATTACACATTCGAAATGTGCCATCTGTTTTGTGCTGGCCCCTAACATACATGGTGCAGGAGAGTGAGAACAGGCCTGGGAATCAGGAGACCTGTGTCCCATCTTTGCCACCAGCTGATTCTGTGACCCTGAATGCTCTTTGCTTTACTAGGTGTCCAGCTTCTTCATCTGTAAAAAGAACAGATGGGACCACATGGCTCTCTGGAGCTACAACTCCCTACCACTACTGGCTGCTCTGACGTTAAACCCAGAAAAGGGATGCACATAAAGGAATACGGCTTCCTAGTGCAGAGGGCAGGTTAGCCAGCTAAGCCCCACCCCAACTCATTCTTGCCCAGGGGGCACCTCACTCCTTTCCAAGGACTTCCCTTTTCCTCCCAGATTCCGTGGGGACCAGGTGCCCAAATGATCTCCACTCCAAAGCAACAGACAAGAAAACCCAGGAAATTACAAGTAACCAACTGGCCAACCCTGATGTAGCCACAGGGGCCCCTTCCCAGGTTCTGGTATGCCCAGGGGGCCAAGCAGAGAAGCAGGTACACACTGCCCGTGAGCATTCTTCACAGGGCTGCGGAGGGAAATGGCCTCTCACAAATGGTATCTAGGGCAGAGGGAGCCACCCAAACCAACATCCAGTCAGAAAACCCTGAACTGAGATCCCTGTCACTGGACACGTTTCAAATAGAGGCTAAGGACCATTCGAAGGGATAGTAGAGAATCTCTGGAGTCCGTTTTAGCTTCTAAAAGTGACTCAGGGAACCCCAAGATCCATGAGAAAGACATTCCAATGGGAATATCACCCTCCCGGGCGTCGCCCCCCTCCCAACCCCACCCCCACCAAATCTGGAGTTTCACCTGCCCCAATCCACCCTCACCCAGACAGAGGTAGCGCAAAGTGCCAAGGGAGGACTGGGTTTCTAATCCTCAAGGACAGGAGGAAAGGGCAGTTTGGATACCAAATGCTCTGAGCTTCTGGCGGGGTAAGGGAGGTAAGACAATCTTTTCAAATCTCAGTCCCCGGGCTGGCCGCAGGTGCAAACCGCAACCTGGTAACTGCCAACACCAATCTCTCTGACGTTCTTCACGTCCCCCAAAGGCCTCCGGAAACCGGTGGTCTCTCCCCTAACTCTGAGCAACTTCAAAGCCCTTCCCGGTGCCAAATCAAAACTTTCGAGACACTCAGGGCTTCCAGCAGCCGAACAGCGCACAGGACGGCTGAGGCCCAAGGAGGGCACAGCGGGCAAAGCCCGGAGACCGGGCGCGGAGGCGACCTCTGCGCTGAGTCACCGCGCACACCGCCTCGCCGAGCCCCTTTTCCCAGGAAGCGCCGCCGTGCGCCTGCGCATGCGCGAGCCTCGGCGCGTGACTCGGGAGCGCGCAGCTCTGGAGGGGGTGGGGCCGGGCCCCGAGTGGAGGCGCATGCGCGGGGCGGGCTCCCGCGGGCAGGGCTTGGCGGGGACTGGGTTCCTCTCCTCCCCCGGCGGTGTGTCCGCAGGTTTGCTGTAACTAACCTCCCTCTAGGAAGCCGTTTGTGCTGAGGAGCCGGCTTGCGGGACGAGGCCAAGCTCGGCCAGGGGCCAGGTTCCCCCACCCTCTCGTCCCCCGTCCAGACCGCCCTGTTCGGGGCCTCAGTTTCCTCTCGAACGCGAGGGGATGCAGCGGGGAAGGCGGACCCCGCCGCCGTGAGGACGCGGGCCCGGAAGCCCGTCCCGCTGGATGATCTGCACCCCCCAGGCCGGGGCCAAGAGCAGTGGGGTCCAGGGCCCGAGAGGGGCTCCTAAGGAGGACCAGACTGCTGAGGTGGGCTTCCTCCACCGCCTCCTTACAGGGCTCCAGCACTGGTCCCCCCCTCGTAGCGGTGAGGCAGCATCTGGGGAGGACAGGGACCCGATGCCCCCCAAGCAGCAGCCCGTGGACCACGTAGGCCGGGTTGCCAAGAGAGGCTCCTTGGTGCCAGGCTCTGGTTTCTCTGTGAGTCCCGGTGCTGCTGCCCGCCGGACCTTCCCTGCTTCTTCATGGCCCCCCTCTGTCCAGAAACTTGCAGTGGCCTCAAGCCCAGACTCCTTGAGCTTCCATTTAAGGGCCAGGTTTCCCTAACCCATCTCATCTCAGCTTGACTCCTCACTGGCCATACACAAATGTCTTCCTTTCTGAGTTCGGGTCCTTGGTCTTTCCCCAGGATCCGTCCCCCTGGTCCCTGCCCTTCCAAACCCGCCCGTCCTTTAGAGTGGAGCTAGAATTCCACTCCCTTTCTAAGCTTGGAACCCCCAGGGTGTCCCAGTATTCCCAGGAGAGTCCTGATGTTATTAGGTAAAGGGATTCTCCTCCCCAAAGGTAATCTGTTAAATGTTTAAATAGTCTGTGTGCTTGGTAGAACTTTTCAAATAATTACATTTACAAGTGAGAAAGAAAATCATTTGCCCGACCATGTGTCTTGTATTATGATTGGGACATGTGGCCTTGTCATTCCCCAGGATCTGCCTGGTCACTCCAGTTCCATGCCTTGTGTCCCTAACTGGATGGTTAGCCCCCCAGGACAGATATTATGCCTGAACAAACGTGTAAATTCCAAATCTTTTGAAGTTTTGGTGGGAAAAAATTTCAGAAGTTTGGAGAATATGGAAATATAACCAACAAATAATTTTGCACTCATCACAAATACAAAATCACTCTTTTTCATGTGTCAGAAAAATGTAGTGTCCCAATTGCTCTAGGCTCCAGGTTAACACAAATCAGTGTGATTGAATGTAGTAGAAGGGACAGTGGGATGAGTAGAAAATTGGCCCTTTAGTTTGGTTTGTCATGTTTTATTTAGCTGGGTAAACTTGGACTTAACTTCTCTGGAGACGCAGCTTCCCCACGCTGGATTTGGATTTAAGGATAATAAATATGCCTGCCCCATCTAATTTATAATATGATCAGAGTGAAGATCAAATGTGAAATGGAGTTAAGGATTTGGGTTTATTTTTTTTTTCTTTTTTGTTGTTGTTGTTCAGGAAATAATCCTTAATAAATTTTCTTTTAAGATGGTTTAGGGGCGCCTGGGTGGCTCAGTGGGTTGTGTCTGACTTTGGCTCAGGTCATGATCTCAGGGTTCTGGGATTGAGCCCCGCACCAGGCTCCCTGCTCAGTGGGGAGTCTGCTTCTCCCTCTGCCTCTCACTCATTCTCTCAAATAAATAAATAAAATCTTAAAAAAAATAAAAAATATATTTTGGTTTCTTTTTTTTTAAAGATTTTATTTATTTGACAGAGAGAAAGTGCACAAGCAGGGGGAGTGGCAGAGGGAGAGGGAGAAGTGGACTCCCCACTGAGCAGGGAGCCCAACACGGGGCTCTATCCCAGGACCCAGAGATCATGACCTGAGCAGAAGGCAGATGCTTAACTGACTGAGCCATTCAGACACCCCTAAGACTTTATTTTTTTAAGTAAGCTCTACACCCAACATGGGGCTTGAACTTAAAACCCTGAGATCAAGAGTTGCATGCTCTACGGATTGAACCAGCCAGATGCCCCACCTTAACAAATTTTCTAATGCAGGCACCTGGGTGGTTCAGTTGCTTAAGCATCTGCCTTTGGCTCAGGTCATGATCCCAGGGTCCTGGGATGGAGCTCCGCTTAGCTTCGGGCTCCCTGCTCAGCGGGGAGTCTGCTTCTCCCTCTACCCCTCCCCCCTGCTCGTGATCTCTCAAGCTCTCTCTCCCTCAAATAAATAAAATCTTTTAAATAAATAAATTTTCAAATGCAAATTACGTGTGTTTTAAAATTTCATTACCATCAAGGTTCAAGGTGCTGACGGACCATTAAAAAAAATCAGGCAATTCTGCATTTTTGTCAGTTTCTGAAGAGGAGGGAAAGGCCCTGGGATCGGAAAGACCAGTGTCACCAAATGTGACCCTGGGCAAGTAACCTCGCCTGCCATAGCGTGAGTCAGGCTCAGATGGAATTCTGGCCCTCCCACCTCCACATGCTGCCTCCCCACCGCTCTGACCATCAGTCTCCTCATCAGTAAAATATGAATAATAATAACATGCATGGAATGCTTGCTGTGGGCTGCGTACTACTTCTAGCACATTGCTTGTTTTAAGTGATCTCATCCTCACCTCAGCCCCGCAGAGAGAGGGGCTCTTCGGATCTCCATTTCATGGCTGAGGATTCTGAAGCACACAACTGTGTCATTTGCCTGGAGCTGCCCAGCCAGTAAGTGCTGGAGCCCAGGACGAAGCCCAAGCAATCCGACTCCGGGGTCTCTGGTCTTTTCCATGTGAGACAGCTCCCTACCTGTGGGGCGATGTGAGCATTACACGAAATAATACACATAAAGCACCTATCATGTGGCCTGGCATATGGCTGTTAGAATTACCTCATCATATCAGATATAACTGTGGGAATGTCTATTGGTCTCTAGCCCAGTTCCTGGCAAAAGGGGGACCCTAGAAGTTGGTTTTCTTCCCCCAGTGAAATGATGTGGAAACAGAGAACATGCTCCACAATGCAAGCACTCACAGAAAATGCTCATTTATGCATGTTATTTTTTTAACCTTTGGTACAGGGAATAATACCTCAGAACCTGTGGGATACACCTTTGCTACAGGCAAATTCGTGTCTCTACTCTCATTTTCTTGTTTTTCTTATGTTTTTTTATTGCCATCAAGGTTTCCCTAGACTGGGAAAAGCTTGAGCCAAATGTCACAGACAGTAGAATCGGCACGAAATGTTGCCAGTGCTTGTGAGTTTTTGAAGGCTCCGACTTCCCCTCAGTTTGCTGAGGGGTTGGGTTGGGGGGGGGCCTACAACTGCAAAGCCAGGGCCTCAGAGGTGTCCTCCTATGGCTGGGTCTTCCTGGGTCTCCCCCCTGGGTAGGGCATCTGGCTCTCCCCATGCACACACCTGCCTATGCCCAATGCTCCCATAATCTGTCATCCACATGTCATTCATACAATTACTTCTTCACAGCCACACCCACACATACCTTCCCCCCCCCAAGGACCCTCTACACACAACATACAGTACACAGACACCTTCTTTACTCCCCCCCAACCCACTTACTCTTTCATTCATTCTGATGGCACGGAGGTAGAGTCCTCCATGCTGGTCACCGTGCTACATACTCAGAGATCTTTTGGCCACAAACACTCACATATACACTGGTTTCCGCACACATGCCAATTTTCCATGCAGGCATTTGCACGCCCCTTGTACATATAACCACAGGTAACCCCCACATATTCACATACATACACACCCCTGTGAAGACACTCGTTCCGTTCAGGCCCCTTAGATCACCTGGCTAGGTTTAGAATGGTCTTTGATTTTACTTTCTCCATGGCATCTGGCTGTCCTCATGGCAGACAATGTAAAGGTGTCAGTAGGGTACAAGGCTTGTGAAATAGCACAATTTTGAACATGCTGGCAGGCTCTGGTGTGTGATGTTTATCTTCAAAACAGACCTCACCTACCTTCTGTTTTCCAGGAAAACGCTCCGTATTTCTCCCAGTCATAGGAAAACACTGGTTGCTGTCATGGGCAGGAGAGCTGACCTGGGGGAGGGCAGCAGTGGTGTGAGCTGGGTCAGGCTACTACGTTGCTGACTGTGGACTGTGGACCCCCGAATCAGGAGGAGGGCAAGGGAGAGGGAGGCAATGAGCCACACTGCCCTACTCATCCCACCCTGAGATCAGCCTCTCCCGACTTAGGAAACCCAGAGCAGGTGGCCACCAATTCCGCATCCTCCCTGTGCTGACCCCCTCACGATGGCATGTTGTTCACTCTCACACCCCCGTATATTTCCAACCTCCCACCAACTCCCCAGGGCCCAGGTCTTTCCTTTGCAAACACGCTCTGAATCAGTGTGAAGTCCTCCATTTCAAAGTAAAGGAGCTCTGCTCGGGGAGTCAAGGACAGGGTAAGGATTCATTAAAAACAAGTACAAGGAGGAAGCCCGGGGTCCTTCTGTGGAGAGCGCCACTTTCAACAGAAGCCAAGGGGAGGCACCGTCCTTACATTCAGGACAGACCCTCCAGCTCCCTCCCCAGAATCTTCAGCTACCAAGTGGGCAGTGGCGTAGTTGAGGACATGGACGTAGCGGCATCTGCCTCTCTGAGAGTCTTGGGGACAGAAGCTTCCATAGTTCCTATGAACGGGCTAGTGCCATAGACACCAGGGAGAATGACAGCCAGGGGCTGAGGAGAGAGCATGTCTTCGTTTCCCATCCTACAATGGGAAGCCTGGGTTTCAAGGTCATCTTTGACACTGGGGGGCTGGAAGCAGGAAGGGTCTAGCGAAGAAGGCACGGGGGTGTCTAAAACACAAGTGGGCAATTCGTGTATTGTCAATCTATCCCTAAGAAACTTAGAAAGTAGCAGTCAGGGTTGGGAAGAGACGGGAGGGATGAACAGGTGGAGTGCAGAGGATTTTTAGGGCAGTGGAAATACCCGTATATTCTATAAGGATGGACACATCATGATACATTTGTCGAAACACGCAGAATGCACACCACCAGGAACAAACCCTAACATATGGACTCTGGGTGACTCTGGCATGTCCACGTCGGCTCATCAGTTGGAACACATGTTCCACTCCACCGGGGATGTTGCGAGTGGGGGAGGCTGTGCATCGTGGTGGCAGGGGGTGTGTGGGAAACCTCTACCTCCCTCTCTGTTTTGCTGTGGACCTGAAACTGCTTGAAAAACAAGTCTTGGGACGCCTGGGTGGCTCAGTCGGTTAAGCGTCTGCCTTCAGCTCAGGTCATGATCCCAGAGTCCTGGGATCGAGTCCCGCATCGGGCTCCCTGCTCCGCGGGGAGCCTGCTTCTCCCTCTGCCTCTGCCTCTCTCTCTATCTCTCATGAATAAATAAATAAAAAAAAAAAAGAAAAACAAGTCTTAATAAAAATCAGTCTACTACTAGATAAAAGGAAGAGGAAGGGATTAGGCTGGCCGGAGACCATGAGAAAGCACGCGGTGTCACAGAGAAATTGAACTTTATTGAGATTTCCTCCCTGATGAAATCAGAACGGCAAGAACACTGGAAACTTTCCACTTTGGAGAGAAACAGCAACTGTTCAGGCACAAATACTTACAGATAACTCCTCTTGGGGGGAATCTCTGGATCCTAAATTTACCCCCAGGTCCCAATCTCCCTCCTCCGCAAAGAGTCAGAATTCTGCTTGAAATCCACATCCACAGAGCGGGGGCCCAAACAGCACTGAAAGCCTAGGCAGACCCGCTGACCAGCCTATGGGCCATTTAGAGAAAAGGCAGGTTGAGAGAGCAGAGGAACGAGTAAGAAAAGGCAAATGGATGGAACAAGAAAGGGAGAAAAGATCACAATGATAATGTCGGCCCCAGCCCCACGAAAACAAAGATCCTGTATGAATGTATGGGCCTCCTTGCACTCGCTTCCCCCAAAGCGACGGGGGCATCGGCTGCTGTAACAGTTCTGTACTTTGTACGGCCCCACTGCACGGAGAAAACCTGATATGCTCGAGGACATTGGGAACATTAAGGAGCAAGGTGAGAGGGGATGTGATGGGGAGGTGAGGTAAGGGCTGGTTTTTAATGAGAAGAAAAGCAGCTCGTCAGGCCCTGGTCACCAGGCTCCTTGGATGCCCCAGCAGGCCCCTGGTGCTCTGCTTGGCTCTGTCCTTAGAAACAATATCCTGGAGGCTTTGGGGCCTCTGGATTTCTTGTGGGAGGTTCCAGGTCCTGCTGCAGCATGCACCCGAGTGCTAATCATTCTGGGAAGCAGGAATTCCAAATTCTCCACGGGGACCTAATCTGATTGATCAGCAATTTGCTTCCATGACCTCGTCCTCAGAGTGCCTCCCATCTGCCTTCATCTACGCTTTCCTTCTGGTCCAAGGTGACTCCCTGGTGCTGGTGGGTCCTGACCTAGGCCTCATGGTGAAGCCCCCCAGATGGCTCGCTCCCAAGTGAGGCTGGCTCACGAGGCCGCAGGTGCCACTCCGGGCAGCCCTGGCCCAGGTCTCCTGGATTTGCACGAACTGTTCAACCCACCTACTTTTCGTCAAAAGGCTCCTTCCCTCCATCCCCCACTGCCCTCCGGGGTTGCCCAGCAGCCTCACAGAGCATCCTTTCTCCATGCCCGCTGGCCTCTGCTGTCTCCCTCAGCTCTCTTGGACAAGGCAGTACACGCATATTCACACCCGTCCGTATTTGAAGGCCCTGGCTGCCCTGTGGTATGTTTGGTGCGAATCAGTGTCAAGTTCAGGTGGAAAACCGAATGTGAAGCCTTGGTTGCCACCCACACCGAGTGGCTGGCACTGGTTCTGACTCGTGGGAAATCACTCTGAGTTTTGAGTATTGGCACATCAGCGAATGGAGAAGAAAGGGGAAGCCATGGCATGAAAACCAGGAGGGTACGACCCTTCCGCAGAGCGTCTCTGCAGAGAAGGTTTGGAAACCGCCTCCTCCTCATCTGGGGGAGATGGGCTGCCCAGAGAATACCCTCATGAAAAGGAGCAAGGTTTCCATCATCCCCTCTGAAACCCAACGCCTTTGGGGTCTGAGTTTTCCAAGACATGCAATAGACAAAGACACACTGCAAACCAATTAACCCTCTGAGCCCTTCTGGTAGTTTCACTGAAGTCACTTCCAAGAAGTCAATTACCTGAATGCATGGAACACTCAGCCTCCTCTTGGGGCTGAGAAAGGGACCGAGCTTCCCAGCCGGCTTAGAAGACTACATCGGAGAAATGGCAGGGGGGAGGCAGCTCTGTCTCCTAGTCTGGGGGACTCCTGTTCTCTCTTAGTGTTCTGGTATCCTAAACCGTTCCCCCGCCCCGAGAGGAAGCAGGGAGGAGGGCCTGGGGGTAGGCTCGAAACCCAGGTGGATTCTGACCCAAGAGACTGTCCCCTGTTGAAGCCAACCCAAGCGAGGAGCAGGCGAGGGCTGGAGGACCAGCAGGAGACTGCGTGGGAGGAAGCCACGAAGGAGGTGAGCAGCCCTACAGAAATCAAGTCTTCCCTATTTTCCCAGCTTAGAGGGCGCAAAAGGAATTTCAGCTGCTTTCAGCTGGATGCTCATCACCTCAGTATAAGTTCAGTATACGCTAGAATTTAGCTGCTCTCTGTCCCTTTGCGATAGGACCCAGGAAAAGCAGGCAGGGCCTGACCTGCCTCGGTCAGGCCCCCCACTGAAGCAACAAGACGGGCACACTGTAATTCACAGTTTCCTCTGGCCTCCCTTGACCTGCACCCTCCCCCACCACTGGCCTCAACTCCCAAATCTCCGGCGTGTAAAGATTCTTGCCAGTGTGGCTCAAAGGGTTAATAAACCAGGACTTCTCAGAGAGGACACAAGCTTATCCACCAACAGGAACCCCAGAACAGCGACACAATGACCTAGTGTTTCTTATAGCGATTCTTTGGGGTTTCGCCACACCCTGTTTTGTCACAGTTGAGAGCACCTGGATTCTTCCCTAGCCCAAGGCTTCCCAGGAGGCCGGGGAGCTCCTGCGTGATGGCCCGCTCAATCTTCTCCAGGAAGCAGCCCCCCATATAGGAGCACTGCTGAGACAGCAGCTTGAAACTGGAGATGGGGTTGATGCCAAAGAAGTCCTTGTAGGCCTCGCGGTTGGGAAGGTCAAACTTGCTGACGTTGGTCTTTGCCAGGATGGTCTTGAAGATGTAGAATTTGTCGGGGTCTTCCACAATGTCCTTAAAGACCAGCTCTCCATCACTGAAAAAGGTCATTTTGTCCTTATAAGTCTGCAGATAGCGGTCGACCAGGAGGGCGTGAATGCGGACCCGGATGGCATGCTGGCGAATGAAGGCGATCTTGTTCTCCAACCTGTTCTCGATCACCTGGTTCAGGTCTTCCAGGAGAGAGATCTCTTCCTTGAGAAACAGGTCCCAGTGTGTATCGGGCCTGTAGTCTTGTGGCCAGAAGGAGCTGACGTAAACCCTCGGGGGCTCTGTGACATTGATGAGCGGGGCCAAGCTCCAGAAGAGGGCCCCATAGACCCGCATGAGCATCTGCGTTGCCAGGTTGTCGGCCTTGTTCAGGATGATCCTTATCTGGGACTCGCGTCCCTTCAGCTGGCGGAAGAGCATCTCCAGCTCCAGACCCACGTCCAACTTGGTTGGGTCAAAGACGACAAAGATGAGGTCCGCTCTGTCGATGAACCACTGGCACACATCATTGAAGGGGTAACCTTGGGGGGGGAGCAAGAAGTCAAGCTGAGCAGGCTCACCCTAAGCCCCTTGTGCCCCCTTCCAGAACCAAACCATTGCCTGGGTTGAAGGGAATAAAGGCAGTAGGGATTTTCTGGGCTTCCAAAGACTAAAAGAATTAATTGCATATCTCCTGCGCCTTGTCAGCCTTCAGCCAAGAACAGCCTGATCCTTGTTTTAATCTATGGAACCCAAGGCTCCAGGAAAGTAAAATACTTTTTCAAAATGGAGATCTTCCTACTGTCTAAAAAGATATGGGACAGTGGCAAAGACATTGAAGGGCTGAAGTCAGGGAATTAGAAGAATATGAAAGAGAGGATATGCTATTTAGGGGGAAGCAATGTGGAGCTGGCCCAAGACCCAGACTGGAATTTGGGTTCTGCCACTGGCCAGCCCAGTTCCAAGCTGTACCATCTTAGCTACAAAATGACAAGAAAAACAATAATACCTAGGTTGATATAAAGATTATGATGTTGCTATAAGGAAAGCACGTAATTAAATTGCCTCTCACACAGTAGGTGCTCAACATATTTTAATTCCTTCCACTTATTTCCAAAATGAGGAGACTAGGAATACCTGTCTTGAAAATTTTCTACAACAATCAACCAGTAATGCATACAATTATCTGATGCATAATAGAAGAATAAAGGTTAATTTACTATTATAATTATTAGTGACAATATTATTACTAGTAGTAAAATAGTAAGGAAACCAAAATGAGAGTTATAACCATAAAGTGAGATCCACCATCTGGGCCTATAGTCCTACAAATGCCCTGTGATGACTCATCTCTGCAGACAGCCCTGTGTCATGGTGATACTCACTGGCCTCTGTCATAACCACGTGTCTGCTGGGCCCAAAGTGGCACTCCTCTCCCACTAGAAGAGAATGCTGGGAAGTCTAATACAGGCTTCTGGTCAAGCAGGCCTGGTCAAGCAGACACTGGACCAGGAAGAGTTCGAGGTCAGGTTCAAACCAGAACCCAAGTTAACCAGAGGTCAAGTACACATGGACAGGGATCCAATTCATCTTGGACAACGCTGGCCACCTTTCCTCTCCCCAGTCTGCTTACCACCCCCTGTCGAATGGTCTTCTAAGACACAGCTCAGGCTGTTCAGATACAACCGCTCAACTACCTCTTTCTTGCTGCTTGCGGTTCTCAATGATGCCTGGTGTATCCACGAAAGTGACTCGCTCCAGAAGTTTGTGGGGAACCTCGATGCCAATCAGCTTCTCTAGGAAATTCTGGCCAAATTTCTCGAGGGGTGAGAAGGACCGGGCGCTGTCGGCAGCCATGACGATACCCTCGATGGTTTTCAGCTTGGGTCCGTGCATGAGGACAGTGAACTCAGAGGTGGTGGGCTCAGCACCTGCACACATGGGCACGAGGTCAGTTGGGACACGGTCACCTCTGCGACAGAGACCCTACTACAAGGTAAGTGGGTAAGCCAGGGGTTTCAGGGCAGACTTACCCCAAGAACTGGATACCCTGCTTGCTAAGCTAGTGTGTTCTTTCTTCTTTTAATTGTAAAATATATGTCACAAAATTGACAGTTTTAACCATTTTTGGGTGTACAATTCAGTGGCATTAAGCACATTCACACCATTGTGCAGTCCTCACCACCATCTATCTCCCAAACTGAAACTGTCCCCACTCATTCCCCCTTCCCAGCCCCCGGTAATCTCTCCTCTACTCTGTCTCTATGGATTGGATGACTCTAGGCATCTCGTAAGTGGAATCGTAAGGTATCTGTCCTTTTGTGTCTGACTTATTTCAGTATAGTGTCTTCAAGATTCATGCATGTTGTAGCATGTTTCAGAAATGCATTCCTTCTTGGGGCGCCTAGGTGGCTCAGTCGTTAAGCATCTGCCTTCGGCTTAGGTCATGATCCCAGGGTCCTGGGATCGAGCCCCGCATCAGGCTCCCTGCTCCGCGGGAGGCCTGCTTCTCCTTCTTCCACTCCCCCTGCTTGTGTTCCCTCTCTCCCTATCTCTCTGTCAAATAAATAAATAAAATCTTTAAAAAAAAAAAAAAGAAATGCATTCCTTCTTAAGACTGAATAATACTCCATACTCTATCATACGGATAGACCCTTTTGTTTATCCATTCATCCATCCATGGATGTTTGGGTGGTTTCCACCTCTTGGCCCTTGTGAGAAATGCTCCTGTGAACACGGATTGTAGCTGCTGATTTCTTGTAATTCTCATCATTCTATTGAAGACACACATGACTGTTTCATCATGCCTTCACATAGGACAGTGACACACCAACACACAGGCAAGAGAATCCCACTATTACCTGTATAGAGCTGGTAGCGAGTGTTTTCCAACCCGAGGAGGTAGTTTATCATGGTGGATTTGCCAACGCTCCATGGTCCGAGGAACAGCACCATGGGCTTGGAAGTAATCTCCCCATCTGCAGGCAGCAGGAATTAGACATGGAAGTGACTGACAAAGTTTATACAGGAGTGACCCAGTGCTTCCCGCCGCATCCCGCGCCCATCTGACGGAGTTATAGAATTCTACACCAGGCCGGGCAGGGTGTGGCAGTCCGTGGCAGTGTGTGATCACCCAGTTAAAAGATACCAGGAGACGTGATTTTGGCCTTACACAGATCCTTGGCACACGGGCACCAGAAGGAGGTAAGTGACATCAACAAACACACCAACTCAGAGCTCACTGTGGGTGAGGCCTCCTGGTTTGCATCTGGGGGACGGTTCATAAGAAGGGGAGAAGGGAACTACCACAGGGGAAGAGGTTAAAACTCTGCTACCTGGGGGCGCCTGGCTGGCTCCATCAGCAGAGCGTGTAACTCTTGATCTTGGGGTCGTGAGTTCAAGCCCCACATTGGATGTAGAGACTACTTAAAAATAAAGTCTTAAGGGGCGCCTGGGTGGCTCAGTCAGTTGAGCATCTGCCTTCAGCTCAGGTTGTGATCTCAGGGTCCTGGGATCAAGCCCCACATTGGGCTCCCTGCTCAGCAGGACGCCTTTTTCTCTCTCTCCCTCTGCCTGCAGCTCTCCCTGCTTGTGCTCTCTCTCTGTCTCTCTGTAAAATAAATAAATAAAATCTCTTAAAAAAAAAA